CGGGCGCGCGACCGTCCCCGCCGCCCACCTCAAAGGCGGCCCTCGGCCCCCCGCTCCCCGCCGGGCAGCGGCGTGTTTTCCGAGCGCGGCCCATAAATCTGACAGAGCCCCGCTCTGGTTTTTATTGATTGCATGCCTTGCGGATTGAAGGCGCGCTTGGTGGATCACTGTTTGTTTTCTCCTGCCAATGACATGGGTATCGATAAAATGCTCATTCATTATTTTTTTCCCCAAGCCCTTCCCAAGTCTGGAGTTTTGCTGGGGAAGCGCTTCTCTTGCGTGAAGGGACCTCCTTGCCCCAGGGCATCAGCCAGGGCATCTCATGGAGCTCCTGCCTCTCCCCCTCCCCTTCTACGCGTGCTGGGGCTCTGTTGGGCAGAGCTGAAAACACCAGCAGTGGGACATCAGCAAAAAAAAGTGGTTGTAAATGTAGGGCTGGGCTGGATTTCCAAAGCCTGAGCACTTGGGCTGCTCCGTTCCGTTCACACCTGGCTGGTGCGAAGCCCTTTGGAGGCGCAGGGCGAGGAGGGGGTGCGGGGTCGGGGCAGGATGGGACAGGACGGGACGGGAGAGCACAGCCCTTCCTCGGAGCAGGCTGGCAGAGGTTTGCGTGCGGCCGCCGCTCTTCCGGGAGGAGGTTTTTTTTCTGCTGAAAGCGAAAGTCAAACATGGCACTGGGCCTCGGGGCTGAGCTCGCTCTTCCCTGGTTTTCACTTCCATTTTCGGAGGGTTGGCCCTCTTGGGCCGTCGCGTGGGTCTCCTCGCAAAGCTGGGTGGCTGCGGAGGGGCTCAGCATCCCCTCCCTCAGCTATGGCACCGTTTCACTTTGCCTTTCCCTCTGCCGCTCTCTGGCTCGCGGGGGTCTCCGTGCAGCCCCTCGGGCTCAGATGCTGACCCCGCAAAGCCCCCACCGAGCAGGAGGGGACATTGCAGAGCCGCCCCAGCACGCTCCCTCCGCCCCGAACACGCCCGTATCTCCCCAGGGGTGTGTTGAGCCTTATAACCCTGAGCCTCGAAGTCATAAAATGAATCAGGAATAAAGGCGGCGGCAGCAGGCACCGAGCGCCCGGGGCGGGGGGTCCCCAAGGTCGGGGCGATGCAGGACGCGGTGGCGGAGGCTGCCAGCACCCCCCTGCCAGCTCCTTCTGCGGGGCCGTGTCTGAGGGGCCCAGGGCACCGAGGGGACCCTCGGACGGGGCAGAGGTTGCTCTCGCAGCAGCCAGGCAGCACGGGAGGAAGCCGTGGGGAAAAGCAGCGGATCAAACTGGGAAAAGCAACTTGTTGAAGTGCAGCAAAAGCCCTGCCGAGTTACCCCCACGGCCCAGGCAGCGCACAGCACCGTCCGGGACCGCGCAGTCCTCGGCGGCGTGCGGCTCCGCCAGCTTATCTCCGATCTTTAAGCAGGGCTAGCTAGTGCTTGCAAGTGATTTAATAAAAATATGCTGTAGGCTGTGGTTTCTAGTAAGTAAACATGTGCCTTTAATACCCCACATGAAATCATAAGCTGCCAAGGAAGTTGCTGCATCTGAAGGCAATCGATTTTTTCAGGGAGGAGCGTTACTGAGGCCGCAGAAAGCTTTGGACCTTCACGCTTTTACGCTCCAGTGTTGCCCTCAGCCGCGGTAGTGCCAGAGGGTCTGCCCCGAGGGTCCAGTGGCTGGAGGGTCTTTTCCAGTCGTGCAGAGGATTTCTTTTGGGCTCAGTGCTTTGGGGTCTAAGGCCCCGTGAAACGAGCCCGGGCTGCAGGCGAGCGGCGCGCGCTTGCCGTGAGCTGTTTGACCCGAGTGTGGCGTAACCTGGCCTTGAAGAGACTTTGAAAGTGGAAAATACCGGATCAGGAAACATGAGTCACTCCCGGGCTTTGGAATTTATTGATGGATTTGTTTCAATTGCAGCGGGGCTATCTCCAACTCACATGTGCAAAATAAACAAAGGGCTGGGACTGGTGTCCCAGAAGTGTCACACAAAGAGCTGAAAAGGACGGCTCTGAATTGGGTCGAGGGTGCTCGGTGCAAGAGGTCTAATTAGAGGGATTAGGAGAATGTGCAGCAATTAAAGAAATCAGTCACTTAGCCCCCTGTTCGTCCCGGGGACCTGCTCCAGGCCCCTCCGCACACTCCAGGTGCCTTTGTGCATCTGATCCCTAAACAATGACCTGAAATCCCAGGAACTGGCCCTGGCTGCGTGTGCCCGGCCCACCTCACCAGTACCCTGCCCGTCTGCAGAAGCGATGACTAAGATCATCACCGTGAGACCCTTTTTATCTGCTGTCTTCTTTTTTTTTTTTTTTACTTCCTGAGTTTGTATTTCCCACTTTCCTCTACAACTGTGACAAGTTAATGAGCGTTGAGAGTCCTCAGCTGTCCCCGACAGCGGGAGTTTGGTCTTGGGGGACAAAACGTGCCAGGACAAAGGCTCGGGACGTGCCGTGTCCCAGCGTGGAGCTGGAAGCCAGTGCCAGCAAAGGCCTTCACTGCTGCTTCGGTGTTTACGAACCGGGCTCTGCAGCCCCAGGGTGGTGGGTGCTGCGCGTGCTGAACCAAAGGGGCAGCCCGCTTGCCTCTTGGGAGGGGGCTTTCCTGATCTTCCCCCCAAAATCAGCATCAGGGGAGGGGGCCGGGAGCACCCCCCGTGGCTGTGTCTCTGATGGTGGCTGTCCTGCCTTGCTCCTCGGCAGATCTCCGTTTCGGGGGGCGGGTTGCCCCCGGTGAGCACCCTGACCAACATCCACAGCTTGTCCCACCACAACCCGCAGCAGTCCCAGAACCTCATCATGACGCCGCTCTCGGGAGTCATGGCCATCGCACAGAGTAAGTGCGCGCCCCGAGCTCACCTCCGCGCCCCACGTGGACCCCCCCGCCTCCTGCCACGGAGAGGGGGACGCCCTGCCCACTCGCGCCGGCACTGACGTCCCCGTTCTGCTCTCTCCCTCCTCCCAGGTCTGAACACCTCGCAGGCGCAGAGTGTACCTGTTATCAACAGCGTTGCCGGCAGCTTGGCAGCTCTACAGCCGGTCCAGTTCTCCCAGCAGCTCCACAGCCCGCACCAGCAGCCGCTGATGCAGCAGTCGCCCGGCCATATGACGCAGCAGCCTTTTATGGCCACCGTGACTCAGCTGCAGAACTCGCACAGTAAGGGTCCGGGCAGTAGCTGTGAATAGAAGGTCCCAGAAAATGAGTTCAGATGGAAAATAAGCTTTTGCTCTCTTCCTGCTCTCCCCTGCCCAAGCTCACGCCCTTGGTGGGCACCTCTCTGCCGCGGGGACTGGCCGGCGTGGGGCTGCGAGCGGGATGGGTGCCGGTGCGGGATGGCCACGTCCCACTCCATCCTCTCCTTCCCCCACGCATCTCCCGTACCACTCAACTGCTGCCCCGTGGGCGGGATGCAGCCCCCCCCCAGCATTTTGTACAAACTTTCTTCTTCCTTCCATGTTCGTATTGCTAAAACGCGTGCTTTGCCGAAAGAGGCGGCCGGGCCCTTCGCACTCCCTGCAAAGCAAACTCCCTGCCGTGCCCTGAGGGGATCGGGCTTCGTCCCTCAGGCTCGCCCATCACCCCGGCCCCAGCCCAGAGGGGTGGTTGAGCTCCAGTCTCTGGTCCCACCAGAGCCCTTCAATCCCCACAGATTTCCCTGGGCGAGCTGCTGCCTGAGAACGAGGTGGCTTAGAAGCAGGATGAGTTTCTTTCCACGGCTCGATTTTACCTCCTTGGTGTCCCCGCCGTGCCCGTTCCTGCGCGGCATCCCTGCTCTGCCCCGGCGCGAGGGCTGTGGGTGGCTTTGCTGTGACGGCTGCTTGTCTCCCTCCTCTCCGCAGTGTATGCACACAAACAGGAGCCCCCCCAGTATTCCCACACCTCCCGCTTCCCCTCGGCGATGGTGGTGACGGATACCAGCAGCATCAGCACGCTGACCAATATGTCTTCCAGTAAGCAGGTAATGGCCGGGCAGAGGTGGCCGAGGGTGTGGGGGGCATGTGGAGATGGAGCGGGGCTTTTTCCCCCTGGAGATGGGGCTGGAGGAGGGTGTAACCGAGCCCCTGTGCTGCATCCACGGGGGCAGCTGAGGATGAGCCTCAGGGTGCAGAGAACCCCGTCCCAGACCCTTTGTGGTCACCAAAAAGCCCACTTGCAGGTGGCAAGCGTGGTGGGGGTTTGGGTGATGTCTAACGCCTGGGCCACGCTCATCCCTGGGGCAACTTCATCAGAGCAGGAGCGTCCGACTGGGGTAGACTGGGCTGAGAAGGTCGGGGCCAAGCGGGCTCTGCTGCCTTTGTGTCCAGGGTGAGTCAACCCTGGCTGGAGTCGAGTGGAGGAGCCGGGCTCCGATGCACCTCAACTTCCCCCAGCCCGTAAAGCTTTGTCACCTGCCCCGTGGTGGTACAGGTGTAAGGCAGGATTTATCCTGGTTCAAATCAGGTGTGTGAGGCCTTACTCAGACAATAGTCCCTTTCTAAAAGCCAGCTCTGGGGACTGTGGGAAATATGTGGCCCTTATTGATTGCTAGATAAATAAGAGAGCCTTGAACTTGCATTCAGATAAACTTTCTTACCGAGGTTTGACACGGGGAGGAAAAAAATGTCTGCAATGACCACAGAGTAAATACGGCGTGGGATTGCTGTGAGACCCCCCCGTGGACGCTGGCAGGGGGCAAAGGGGGCTGGAAAGGGGAGAAGGCAGGAGAGGGGCTGCCCGGGGGGGGTTTGGGGTGCCTGGGAAAGGATGATGAACGCCACCGCCCCCGTCTCGGGTCGGGCTCCCGCGCTTTGTAGTGCTCGGGGTGACGATTTATCTGCGCCCGCGCATCTCGGCCCGGGAGGCGGTCAGGCACGGCCGCGCTCCTCGGGAGCACCATTTCCTCCGCGCGGCTTTATCAGCCCATCTGGTGTGCGCTCAGCCCGAACTCCCCCTGATTAATTGTGCTCTCCCGCTATGGGCTGCCTTTGATGCCGGCCTGGCTGAAAGGAGCCCTGGGCACACAGGAAATATCCCTGGCAGGGAGATAGTGCCCGGCCATCCCCGCTGCCCGACCGGGCGCTGCGATCAGCCTACCTTGACGTGGTGCTGCCCGGGGGGAGGTAGGTGGTGGTCTCCCTCGGTTTTCCCCCTCCATTACGTTTTTGCACTTTAATTAGAGCAGGAGGAGGTCTCGCGGCTCAGGAGGGGGGAGATGGGGTTGGGACCCCTTGGCTGTGGTGGCAGAAGGATGTAAAATGCCGAAGGGGCACGCACCCGCCCTGTTAGCCCCCCGTACGTGATAAACAAGCACTGGCTGGTCCTGCGAGTGCTGGGGGCAGGATCTGGCTCCTGTCCCCCCCTCAAACAGAGCTGGCACTGAGGTCACGTCCCCTCCAGCACAACCTCCCAGCCCCTGGGGCCTCTTTTCCTACCAACCATTTGACGTTCAGGCTAAAGCTGGAAAAATTTATCCTTGAACATTGATTTTTTTTCTCAGTGGTCACCTGTTTCATTAGCAAGGGGTGATTGAGGCAGCATGGGGGCCCCCTAAAGGCTGCTCAACCCCCAGATGGCTCAGATGCTTCAATAATTTTAGTGATTTGGGTTTCTGTCACTGACTGGGGCTAACAAGGGCCATCCCTTGGCTCCTCGACGCTTTGCCTTGGCATAAAGCAGGCACTGCTGGGCACAAGGATGCCTGGCAGCGGTGGGCTCCTCTGAGGTGGCCAGAAAGGACAGGAGGGTCACTCGGATCCCCAAGGAGTTGCAATTTTTGGAGGGCAGTTGGCTGAGCGAGGGCTGGGTGCTGCTGGTGGGACCACACGGATAAACCCGGGGGGTGCACAGCCCATATGAAACCTCAGAGCTGGGAGGGCCACGCTGCTGCTCCCTGAGGAACCCCCTCTTTGCGAGAGGAGAGGCATCCTCGTGCAAAGCAAAGCCTCTGTGGTTCCCCAACAGCGCTTCTGCACCCCGCAGCCCCCGCGCCAGGCCCTGCAAACCGGCTCCGTGGCGGAGCCCGGCTGCTCCCGGTCCTGCCGACGGGGATGGAGGCTGGAGAGACGTCCCTGGTCCCACCCCAGCTCCCCCCTCGCAGCCCAGCGCTGCAGGTCACTTATCAGATGTTGTTATTTAGACCTGGAAGGGGCAAATACCTCCCGGTTCCTTTGACAACGCTTGAGGCTGAGCCACCATTTTTATTACGTTAGCAAACACCTGATAGCCCCGGCCTGTCCCTAATGACATGTCACGGGAGGCTCCTGGCGTCTCCTTATCTCCGCGTTACGATGTTTGCTGTGTGCTGCGGCCCACAAGGTCACCCATGGCTCCTGACCCCCCACCTCACCGGTGACTGAGAGGTCCCCAGGTGGGGGGGACCCACCCTGAGGGACGGAGAAGGGGCCGCTGCGGTAGGATGGATGCGGCGGCCGGTGCTGCTCTGCTCCTTCCCCGGAGGTGACAGCAGTGCTGGGGGACAGCGATGAGTGCGGCCCCCGGCCCCGCTCCCACCCGGGCGCAAGCTGCTGTCCTCAGCCTCATGCCTGGCTGCTCTTGGCAGCCGTGCTGAGCTGTGTGGCACCATCTCTGCAACAGCCCGAGCACAGACAGGCCCTTTTTTATTATTATTACTTTTGTGAGGAGGTGGCAATATCTGGCTCAGAAAGTATTTTCCCACTGCCTCCCCCTCAGAGGTGCTGGGGAGGGCTCGAGGTCAAGCAGGGCTTGCGTGGCACCACCAAAGTCCCAGGGTGGTGCAGGAGGTGATGCCTCCAAATGCTTTGCAATACCCCTGGAGAGCCCCCCGCAGTGCTGCCTTCACCTCCCGCCCGCCTGCCCGCCGGTCACTGTGCTGCTCTCTCCCTCCCCAGTGTCCCCTGCAAGCCTGGTGATGCTCCACACCTCGCTGCTTTTGCACATAGCAACGGGATCTTATTTTCCACACCATCCCGACGGTGACTCGCGCGCCGAGCCCGGGGAGTCGCCAGAGCGAAGCCCAGCGCTGCAGCGAGGAGCCCATCAACCCGACACGGGGCCGGAGGCTCAGGACTCCCCGTCGCCCCTCCGCGCCCCGCCGGAGACGAGCCCAGATTCATGGGGCGCCCACCCGGGCCCGTGCCCCTCCTTCCATCCACGCAGTATTTCCAAGACGTGTCTTGGGGATTTTTTTCTTAAGTATTTGCCTTCCAAGAGGCTGTTGGCTCTCCCGAGGAACTAGGAACAAACTGTACTGGGAACTGGCAGAAGGGGAAGATGGATAATATTTAAGTTATACTCCTCCACCCGATGGACTGAGAGGGTCTTGGGTCTGTTACTTGGCATTTGGAAGGAGGAATTGCATGTGCTGTTGAACTGAGCCAATTGAACTGTAAATATAGGTACAGTGTGCTCCATCCTCACCCTTCCCCACTCTTATATAGAGAGATTTATATAAAAGAAGTAAATTTTGTCCAATGGATGTAAACTACTGTAATTAAGTGCAATCCCCCCATCTGTATATATTGTTCCCAAACCTCTTCTCTCTCTCTCCTTTTTTTTTTTTTTGGTAAAGGTCAGAGTTAAGGATGGTTTTGGTTTTGTATTTCTCTTTTTCCTTTAAATGAGTTAATTCCAAGAGCTGGGCCTAGGCAAGGACGCCGGGGGCAGGCAGGACCAGGCTCTGCTCTGCAGGAGAACAGGCACACGGTGATGTCCCACGTGAGGGAGGGGCATGGGGCAAGCTGAGCAGAGCCCCGGCAGGACCTGGACGGTGCAAGCAGGAACAACTGCCACTATGGAGATCTCAAGGGACTCTTCTGCTTTTGGGGACTCTGGGGTGGGGAAGTGCTCAGCAGCCCAGTCGACACACCCAGACCACTGGGAAGCGTTTGGCATCAGCAGTTTTCAGCCTGTAGCATTTGCTGCTGCAGGATGAGGTTACAAGAAATTCTGGTGGCATCTTCCTCAAATGGGGTTCAGAGGGTGCCTCCCTTTTCTCCCCTCCTTGGGATGCAGAAGGGACTGGGTGCCTTGTCTCCTGCCCAGTAAACAGCCAGTACAGGTGGCTTACTAGCCATTAGCAGGTTGAGGATGAGCCTTGTTGGCTCCACCCGTATCAATAAACACGGTGCTCTCCTGGTGTCACCTCTGAGCTGTGATATGAACGTGACGGTCCACGGTCCCCGCTGGTCTCACCCAGCAGCAGCCCTCAGAGGAAAAGCTTCGCAGCAAGACCTCCAGCTTGTGAACAAGCCCCCACCTCGGCGGTGAGGGCACATCCCAGCTGGGCACCCGCTGAGGACACTGGGCTCCACACCCACCGGAGCCCTGAAGGGGTTTAGGTGCCCAAGTCCCACCACCCAAAGCTGCAAAAGCCATCATCTCCCCTCCCGCGAGACACAAGCTCCTCCTTACCTCCGCCCCTTCAGAAACGCAACGAAAACTCCCCCCAGCTCTGCAAATTGTTGTTGAACTTTGCAGCGTGTGCCAACTGCTGAGAGTGATTTAGAGAGATGGAGAGCAGTAGAGGTGCCCATGGATGGATGACCACTGCTAATAAAGAAAACCACTGGATGCTTGCTTTGGGTCAAGAAAAGGCTCTTTTGCTCCGTTTGTCTCGCGCAGTGGGACCCCAACCCTCGCTGGGACTAACCGGAGTTGCCCTACGGTGAATAAGTCATCATGAATTGGAGACCAATATTTGGAATGACGTTTAATTTAATGTATACCATAATTAAATACCATTTCTTCTGACCCGTTGCTGCCGTGTGGTCTGTAAGCTCGGCAGCCATCACCCGCTGTGGTGTGGCAGAGGTCGGCAGGCAGGACACAGGCTGGTGGCAGTGGCACGTCCCTTGCAATGCTGATGGAGGCTTCTACCTGCTGGAAAGCGGCGAGTCGAGTGTTTCGTATGAAGCCCCAGGTATCAGCCAAAAATAGCAAGAGGCTCTAGGAGGTCGGGGGACCGGTGTCCTCACCCTCCTAATGATGCACTAATGATGTTGCTCTTAGTCCAGCACGGTTTATCCCTCATCCTCTGCTAACTTTAGCAGGCGAGTGTTAAGCAAACCAATTAGGGGCTGAGTGCCCAACACCGTGGGTCAGTAAAGCACGAGGGGGAGGCGGAGGGTGGGCTGCGGTCACTGTAAAGCTTTTGAAGGTCTTTGATTGCGACGAGCTAACACAGCTGAGTGACTCAGAGCACATCAGTGGGAAAGGGTGGCCCTTCTGAACGTGCGGCGCAGGGCTGTGGTTTTAATCACCTTCAAAAACAACCAGTTTTGGTTTGGCACCTTTTTTTTTTTTTTTTTTTCTCGTAAGTTAAGCAAGGGCTGCTGTGGGGAAGGCTTCAGAGCAGCAGTCTGGGGCTCACCTTCACAGCCAGAGCAGGACACCCTGATAAAAACCTTCCCACAGAGTTTCTTTATTCCTGTGAATTTTAGCTACCCCAGACAAAAACTGGAAGCACCAAGCTTCCAGAGGGTGGGAGGCATGAAGGCTGCTTGGTCTCTTTTGTGGGAACTCGGAAGTGATGCTGTCTTTTAGCAAAAGCTGGAGAGGAAAGATGCAGGTTTTATGCTGAGATCCCTTTTGCACCTTCCTGCTTGGCAAGTTCTTTTCAACACACCTGAATGCCAGGCTGAGCCCTTTTCAAAGTCTGCTCCTCACTGTTGCATTCAGGGTGGAAATTACTTGGATTCTTCTACTTAGGGCAACGATGTTTTGCTCTGTGAGTGACTTGTGAAGCTAAATGGGCTAAGCTTTCCCAGCTGATGCATATCCGGCGTCAGGTTAAATTAGTCCTGCGGAGGAAGGGGCAATCCCATGGGAAGGAGCAGGAGGCACTAGGTGACCTGCTGTAGCTGAGCTGATGCTCCAAGGGGAGCAGTACCTTTTGGGGCTTGGTTTCTGCACCAGCTTTAAGACGGATTCAGACTGAGGGGCTTGGGGTGGCATAACTCTGTGTAAAGCACCCTTAGGTAAGTGGTCCAGTACCAGTGCTGCTCCCCAGAAAGCCCCACAGAGAAGGTAGGTGAAAACCTTGGGGAAGGGGGTCTCTGAGGTGTAACCCCACTAGGGAGGGACCTGGTGAGGGAAGGGGGGACCGAGCCAAAACTGGGGAAAAAGGGCATAGGACCCATCCAAACAAAGACACAGATGGAGAAGGTGACTACCATGGAGCAAAGAGTGTGTGATAAAGCTGTCAGGATAAAGTCAATAATATGAACAGAACAAACGATTAAGAACAGATGGTATTTACCCAAGAGGTGTGAATTTATGAAGTTGCCAAACAGCTCGTTGTGTGCTGTCACCCACCCGTGGGTAGCAGGAGACAGGAAGGTACAAAGCAGGATGGGTCACTAGAGGATGCTGTGGGTGCTACACATACCGATGCCTTCGTGGGGAGAAAGGTTCCCCTGATTTGGATCTACCCTCTGGCTGAGGAAACCCTTCTGCCCAGGGAAATACCATCCAAAAGTGCTTCCCTGAGCAGCCTCTGCAGCAGCTGGCCTGCCCCTGGGGCTGAGGCTGTCCCTGCCCAGACCTCACCTTACACCGGAGAAGCATCAGGCGGGGCGTTTGCTCCCACAGACCCCCTGGCTGCCTCATTAAATTGCTGGAAAATACCATGTAATGTCAAATGAGGCTCTTGGAAGACATTATTTTTTCCCGCTGTTGCTGTTGGGCACGTTGTTTGTCCGTGATGCAGTTGTTACGCAGCAAAGAAACTAGCAGAAACGTGACAAAGTTCATTTATGACCAATAGAGTTTTACAAGGCCGAGCGATTATTTTACAGTTCAAAGCTCTTCACAAGGGAATTCCTTGCACACGAGGATCCGCGGGCTGCCACGAGGCTTTATCAGTCACTCTTTGTGCTAAGAACAAACTGCAGCCTCCACGGCAGAGCACAGGGACGCCACTGCATTTAATTTGAAGTGCAGGTGTGGGTGCAAAGGAAAAAATCCCCCAAATCCCAGCATTACCGAGGCCAGGAGGTAACACCCAGGGTCAGGGCTGCCGTGGCTCTCCGTGATGCGAGGACCTGCCCTCTCCAGGGAGGTATTGCCCAAAGTTCACTGTGTTTTAAGAGTTCCTTCCCCGACTAGGGTGGGCAGGATGCGGGGCAGGCGAGGGGCACGGCTGGGGAAGCCCTGGGAGGTGGGATGCAGGAGGGCTGGGCAGGAGTGTGGCCTCTTTACCTCCAGAGGAGAGCGCAGCCCTGTGACACCTTGCCCGGATGGGTAAATCCCCCACCCTGACTGTCTCCTTTTGTGCTGCAGCACCAGCAGTGCTGCCAGCAAAGTCAAAACCAGGTTAATGCCACCCTCGCCGCCTGCCCCAGGGCTGCGACAGGGCTCTGTCACACGGCCAGCAGAGTCCTCGGCGTGGGGCTGCAGCCCTCCCCGGGGAGCAGGGCTCCTTGGTGCTTATCGCCTCTGTAATTGTGGGGAGGAACGGAGCCAGGGAAACCCCATCCAGGGCCAAACCCTGCGTGCCAGCTGCTGGCTGGAGGGCTGGGACACCCCGGTGCTGGGCTCCCCATCCCCAGGTGCATGACAGCAGCCCGGTGGTGGTGCAGACCTCGCTGCCATCCCAGTGCCCCACTGCTGCAGGCAGTCCAGCTCCCATCAGCCGGCACAAAGCACGTGGGTCAGCCCTGTGGAGGAGCGGGCGTTCCACTGGCCGCGCAGGCAACAGCCTCTCCAGGGATACCGAAATACAGCCAAGCTATTTCAACAACTTTAAAAATGTCGTTTGGCGCGCGTGTAAACGTAAGGCGCAGTTGCACAACAGCACCCGGCTCCAAACCTGTGGTCTTTCCAGACTTGTTCTGCCAGTCCAGCCAGATGGCCTGATCTGCTGGAAATTTCGGCAGGAGAACCAGCAGCAGCCGTGCGGGGCTGTTGCAGAGCCTGGGCTGTGCTGGGGCTGTGCTCCCCACCGGTGCAAGCCTGCACCCCACACACCACTGCCCAGCGGTCCCAGCGCTGCCTTCCGCCACGGCAGGTCAAAAGGGAAAGCACCGTCAGTCCCCTGCGGACAGCAAACACGTTCTGCCCTTTGAAGCCTTTGAGCGGATTTGGTTGAGCTGGTGGCAGAGTTTGAGGAGTACACAGAGAGGAATGCAGAAAGTGCTTGTGTTGGGAGGCTGGGCTGTTTGCAGGCGTTGCCAGCTCCCCGCTGCGCCCTGGCCACGGGAGCAGGTACACGGAGCTGGAGGAGTCCCTGCTTTGGTCAGCGCGCGCTGATCCCATCGCCTGCTGACATGGGGCTTCCGTGATGTGTTTGCAGGAGGTCTTCACGAGTCTGTGGAAAGGTTTGATGGGAAGAGAGATGTGAGTCATGAAAACCAGCAGCAGAGAACAGCATTGTAAGAGTTTACTGTCCTAAACCGACGCGCTGCTGCCAAGCACCTTAGAATGCTCTCGGCAGCTGGAGAAAACCGCTCTCTGCCTGCTCCAGGGCATCTCTGATTGCTCCTGCAGCTCCGGGTGCTGTGACCTCCACAACCGCCGCTGCGCTGCCTCACACCAACCTCCCCCCAACAGCCAAGGGACCTGCAAATCTGGGGCTCACCGGTCTGCAAAGATCTCGGGGAGCCCTGGTATCCCACCGTTGTGAGAGGCCAATGCGTGCAGCGCTCCCCGCCGCCGCGGAGCCCGGCCAGCCAACCTCGTGAGCTGCTCCGCACCGTTTGCTCCGCAAATGTCCTCTGCAGGCGGACGCTCCAGGCGCTCGCTTGGCTCCTCGCTGCGAGTGCTGCGAGACCTCCCACACCGATGAGGTGGGCAAGACGCTGCCCTGGGTCCTCGGGGATGAAGGACGGATGCTTTGTAGAAGGAGTCTGGTTTTGCTGCGTGTGGTCAAGTGTGCGTAGATGGAACCATGGACTGTTTTTCACGGGGCAGGGAGCTGGGCTAGCTACTTCTCGGTGCAGAGAGGTTAACAGCTATATAACAGCTCAGAGTTGACATTCCCAGAGGCAGAGCCCCACGGGAGCTCCAGGGCTCATCCAGCACAGGACACCCAGCTCCCCTCAGTGCTTGCAGGGTGCCCCTTTGTTTAATCCTGACGGGTAACTTGCCCCTGGTGCGGATGGTGGAAGGCTGGCAGGTCCTGCAGCAGCACTGGGCCAAGGAGTGGTACATGCTGCCAGGAAGGGCTCAGTGGAGTAACGGGAGTGTTGTGGGAGCCACCAGCATCGGGGGAGGAGAGGTCTCTGGCCCCCTGGACTTTTATATCTCTGACCCAGGGGTAAAACTTAAAAGCTGAAATGTGCACTAAAGAGCTGTCCCACCCCAGCATATGTGTAATACAGAGCTACACAAAACCTCAACCTCAGACATTTTACATTATCTCCTGATTCAATGAACTTTGATTTTACTTTTATATTCAGCAAAATTAATTCTCCCCTCTGTAATTAATATGCTGCTCAAATGGATTCTTAATTACAGATAAATCACAAATCTACACACTCAACTGTTCTGCTTTTCAAGTAATAAAAGAGATCATTTGTCTTCCTCAGATGAACAGAGACCAACCAGCACACCATTTCCCTCTTTATGAAGAATTCATTTGCCTTAGAAAGAAAGTCTTTAAGAAAACATTGCAAGGATTTCTTGAATAGGGGATCAAAGCTCCCACACTGCTGGAAAGCATTTTTGCTAAATAAGATGTGGGTAAAGGAAAAAAAAGTAAAAGTTTTTTTGGTCGTGGCTGGGATTACAACACCCTTGGGAAGGACAAGGACGTGGGGTCAAGAAGTTGTGACCAGGTTAGCAACACAGGGAACAGAAGGGGAGGACAAAGGAACAGAAAGTGGAAATGGACAGATGAATGAGGAAGCATGTTTCTTTGCCGAAAGAGAATGGATGCTACATCAATTCATACTGAGAGCTAAAGGATGAGGGCCTGTTAATGGATTGGGGGACACAGCAGGGATCAGAGGTCATGAGTGCACTCAGCTAGGCTAATTGACTGTTATGTGCATATTAGCGATGATAATGTGGTGTGATAGCGGGACGTGGGGAACAGATATGCAAAAGTTCCACTGCCAAGCCCTGTCCTGTAATTCCTGTCTTACACCTGCTAAACAATTGCACACAGACAGGCTCCTGCCCTTAGCTCGCTTCCTTCAGGCAGGGAGCCCACGGCTACAGGTGAGCGTCTCTGATCTGACTCTGCCTGTGATGAAATAAATCTGCTCACCAGGGCTGCTTTGCAGTCTTCGGGGGTTTTATTTCAGTGCTACGTGCTGGGCATGACCCAAGGATCTGACCAACCCATCACACCCGGGCTGCTCCTGCACCGTCACAGAAGTCCCTGCGTGCCCCCGCGGGACAGGGGGGGCCGCTTCAGGCTTGGGGGTGCACCCTGCTATTAACTGCCTGTGCCTGCTGCGGTCCCAGGGCCTGTCTGCAAGAACAACAAATGAAAGGGGAAACCCACAAAGCCTGGGCTCTCCCCCACATCCCGGTCCACCCCACGGGCACCCTGCCAGCGACTCCAGGCAGAACGGGCTAGCACTCACCCTTCTCTGCTATTATTTTATGCCAGCCCCGGTGTGTCGGAAGCGCCGTGTTCCCCAGCACATAGGAAGGAGCAGGTGCAGGGAGGTTAACATAACGATCACAAACTGGTCCAATGAACACTGCGTTCACCCCGTCTGAGTGTGGCTATGGCTGGGGAGGTGTTGATGCCCCCCTCAGCTGGCACAGGCGGCTGTCTCTTGTTTGCTGTGGTGCAGATGGAGTGAGAACGCCCTGGCAGGAGGCACTGTGCTTCCTCTTTACCGGTTTGGATTAATTATAGGGAACAAAGCAAGTCATCCTTTGCTGTGCGGGGTTTCTGCAGTGTGCACCAGAGAGGGGTCCTTTGTTGGGAGGCTTTAGGCCACCTTGTTCAGCGAAGCAGGAGCCACATAGAAAAAGAGTGAAATCAGCTCCAGTCCCCAATACGGGATCAGTTTTGGAGGTCAGGTGCAGTTCTGAGCGGACTTTTGTGGAATCGAGATCCAGATCGCCAATAAAACAGGATTGCCCAGGTTACCTCAGGCTGTTGGGGCATTAATCACTGCTCCCGCACAACGTGCGCCCTGCTAAGGCCTCGCTGGTCATCTGGTGTCAGCGCTGACTTGGCAATTAGCGCTGGGTAATTGATAGAGCAGCATCGGGGAAGCAAAGCTGAACCCAATGCCGTGACAAGAGAGGGTTTGCTTTGCATTAAGTTGCTCCGGTTTTGTATTTCACCAACTTCTCCCTTTCACCCCCGATACATGACATGCCCCCTCACAGCCCAAGTCCCGACTGCTCCGTGGCAGATCTACTTCGGTGTAAGGGGGCTCAGGCCCCAGCGCCACACGTGCTGGAAGATGGGGACGTACCCCTGGGGACTGCTGCTGCCAGAGGGTCCCTCGCTCCTGGCACCCGGCGCTGCCGCCTCAGCAGCAGAGTTCCTTTACTCCTTACACAAAGGGATTTCCCACTCGACCGATGGAGAGAATATTTCCCGTTTCCTCACTCTTGAATCTGCTGACAGCATCTCTTGGTGAGTGATGGATATTGGAGATGATTTATAGTTCTTTGTTACACAAATGCCTCCACATTCTTCCCTGTCCTCTCACAGCAACCATTAGTCACTTTTCCTGCTGGAAAAGCAAGAGCTGCAGCTCAGGGATGGCCCAAAGGATGCAGCATGGAGTCTTTCTCCTTCACAGCTTTATTCGCTGTAAATACAACATCAGCAATGGCTCAGCTCCGCGACACAAACGAGGGGAGCATCAGCGTCGTGGTGCTCCGCGCCCACCCAGGGCTCCGTTTGAGGCTGCTTCCACCCATCTGCCGGGAAGTCAAAAGGTTGGCAAAGAAAAAGCGCTATAAATCAGGCAGATAGGGGCTGCGGGGAGGATGGCGTTCACGCAATTTTTCATCTCAAAGTTTATAATTAAAGGAGTGGATGTTAGAGGAGGAACAACCATTGCCGGTATCTCTTAGAGCTCTTGGATTTTGGCAATGTAAGCGTTTAGCACTTGAGACTTTTATTATATAAAATAGTTTTTGGAATGCTATTGTTGCTTAATTGGATTTCTGTTTGTTTTACTTCAAGAACACCAGGAAAAAATATCTGTATTGTTTGATCTGATACAGAGTACTGGGAGCCTTAACCTGTACTATTGGGTCTCACAGTTTATCATAATGAATAAATACATGAATTAAATAAATTCTGATCTTAATCTATGCAAAGTTTCTTGATTGCCCTGAGCAGCTGAGCCAGCTGCCGGGTTGTTCCTGCCATTGCCTCTAGCGTTTCTTTCTTCAAGTACAGTTGTGAGCCTGGATTGTATCAGTGGAAATCAAGGATTAAACAAATTAACTTGGCACATTCCTGACTTTAATTTAGGTGTCACTGGGACTGCTAACCAGCTTCACAAAGCACATGCTGAAATGTTCTGTTGAGGTGGGTCTTAAGATCAGGAGGCTAGTGCAGGACTGAGCCCTAAGTATTTTTTAACAAAATGGGTTTGAATCAAACCAAGAGAGACCATTCCTCTGCTTTCACAGGGAGAGGCAGAGCCACTCGTAGCAGATCACAAAGGGACTTCCCCGTCAATCCACGAAGAGAATATAAACCAAGGGATGATCCAGGCAATGGAAAGTGCTAATAAACTGCTGGTTTGTGTCCTCAGAAATATCTAGGTCCTCAGTTTACATCTCCGAGAGGCAGAGTGCCCAGTGGAGCTTATAATCTCTACTTGCTGGCACTGTGATGGATAGAAGCGAGGTCAGTCCTTTGAGAGCAGCTAATGATACTGTAAATCACCAAAGCCCAGACGTGGTCGAACAAAACCTTCCTACAAAAGCTTTTGTCCTCTTATTCAGCTGAGCTGTTCCTTAAAAAAGGCTGGAGCAGTCAGCGCAATTAACTTGCCATCAGGAATACACAAAAGGACAAAACGCTGCCATCGGCCTGTAAAGATGTCGAACAGTTTTATGGCTCATATGCCGGATTTGAGATCTGTGAGTCGTTTAGACCTCATGCAGATGATTACATTTTTTATTTTTATTTTTTTTAAAGAAGGAAACAGCTGGCCAGGACCTCCCCCAGGATTTAGGCCGGCCCTGCCTTGGGGTGGCTTCTCCCGGCGCCCCGGGCCTAGTGAGGCCTAAAGCCCGACGCCATGACACCCCGCGGGGCGGTTGCTAGGCTACCGGGGCGGGCGCGCGCTCGGCCCCGCCTCCGCGCCCCGGAAGTCCTCGCTCCTTCCGGGGGGCGCCGCGGGGGGTGCTGGGAGGCGCGCGGCGCTATGGAGGCGTGGGAGCTGTTCCGGCGCTTGGGCGCCGGTGCTCGCTTTGACGTGCGGCGCTTCGGGCAAGATGCGCGGAGATTTGGGGTGCGGAGACACCGGGGAGAGGCGGGGACGGGCCTGGG